TAAGCTAATTTGTTTTAAATTTGTTTGAGTTAGTACACTAAATGTTTTTGCAAAATGTCACTTAGGCCTAATGTCACTTAACTCGATTTTCAATTTTAAATTAAATTGCATTTTTATAAAAGACATTTTCAAATGTTTTAAAAGCTTTAACTTAATTATTATCTTGGCTAGGGCAATGTCTTATTTATTATTGTTATTTATTATTGTTGCATTTATATATACATATTTTAGAATGAATAAATTTATATTTGTGTCCAGCCAGCTCTTGTGTTGTTATTGTTGGTCCTCCACCTCAGCAATATTGAGCCGGAATCCCACCATTGATTTTGCGCTTCCAAGGGCTTCACCCTTTTGATCAATGGAGTTGGGAATTCGGTTACAAATGGTAGCAGAGCGTGGTTTGGTCCAATTTACTGTGCAGTGGTTTGATTAAAGTAGTAGAAAAAAAAATTTTTTTGAGCGCATTAAATAAAGTTGGTAATTTTTTTTAATGAAATTTGTTGAGGTTAGGAGGACATGGCATTTGTGTTTAATCATAGTGGTTCATTTGTTCTTTGTCTGTTAGTTATTTATTTGTTTTTGTGGTCGTCTCAGGATTCTGATTTTTGGCCTGTTGGTGGCAGGCTGATTTTGATTGTTGGCCCCGTGGTTGTGTTCTCATCTGTGAATTAGAGGTCTTAGGTAGGTAATTGTTATGAATAGTTTTGTTGTATTTGTGTTCATTGTCCTTTTAAATGTGTAGTCAACATGACTGGTCCACACCGAACTTCGAAATTTTCCCCTCAGACCCACATCTCCCAATTGAAGGCTTTTCGGGGACAACCAGATCTTAGGTTAGGTTAGGTTAGGTTCCTGCCCTGTAGGCCTGATCACCCTGCAGTGAAGGAATGTGTACTACTCTGTTGTGTCGAATTTGTTTCTTTGCCATTGCTGGGCCCAGCAAAATCATCCCCTGGAAGTGAGTTTTCCTTCCAGTAGACAGAGTCGTTGACCTGGTTTTCTGTTGTTGCCCCGGGAGGTTAGGTTTTCGTGGGGGAGGTTGTGCCGTGTGTATGTGCTCAACGCTCAACGGCACTGTTTATTTTGTTGCGTGGTTGGTACTACTGGCTGCGTCTGCTGGACGTTCGTCGGGTGACATTTGTGTCTCCCGTTTCTCAGATGTTGGGTTTGAGATTGCTCCCAAACTACGGGGTACTCTTCCGGAAGAGTTTTCTTTTGTGAACCCTGAAGATTTTACTTTCATAGATCGTTTCACTACAGCTCAGTATGGAGCATTTCTGCGAGTAGAGTATTCATACCACGGGGTCGGCGACTCCACTTGAAACCTGCCACCATTAGAATGCTAACAACTGCACCACGATGAGCCTTCTCCCAGGCGGATGGGACTGCGCCACACCACTGACTGTGCACCACCCGCTGATGGCGATACCTACACAGCTAGGCCTATGTCTACTCCGTCCTAATACCGTGCTGCAGTGTCTGGGGAGCGGCCACCATGTTCTCGGCCTACTTTTACTTCCTGCTAACTCACCTGGATGCCAGCAAGGTTTTACGGTCAGGTCAGTCCAGTCCATTTGGAGAGTCTCATCCATCATGACGAAATCTCACTCAACATAGGCTTTTTATTTAACTTATATAACAAAAATCTGTAATCTTTTTACCTGCAATTTAACTAATTAGTCCTTCCTCTCTAAATTCAATGTACTTAACATTTTATTCAAGTTTTAAATTCCATTCTTTTAATTCTGTTTCACACCCCTTGATTGAGGGTAAAACCTTTTTTTTGCCCTTGACGGTTAATTTTAACCGCTTGGAAATAATTATTAGGCTTTGCGAGGCGACCACATTTGTTGATATGTGTAAATGTTTTTCATGTTCGTTTAAATGTAAAAATTATTTATTTTAATGTAGGCCTAGGACTAAAGGCATTAAATTAATTGTTTGATTTTTATAAGGTGGCCACCTAAGCTAATTTGTTTTAAATTTGTTTGAGTTAGTACACTAAATGTTTTTGCAAAATGTCACTTAGGCCTAATGTCACTTAACTCGATTTTCAATTTTAAATTAAATTGCATTTTTATAAAAGAAATTTTTAAATGTTTTAAAAGCTTTAACTTAATTATTATCTTGACTAGGACAATGTCTTATTTATTATTGTTATTTATTATTGTTGCATTTATATATACATATTTTAGAATGAATAAATTTATATTTGTGTCCAGCCAGCTCTTGTGTTGTTATTGTTGGTCCTCCACCTCAGCAATATTGAGCCGGAATCCCACCATTGATTTTGCGCTTCCAAGGGCTTCACCCTTTTGATCAATGGAGTTGGGAATTCGGTTACAACAGTCAAAATGTGTGTTGAAATTTACCTGTATTATTCCATTAAAATCACTCAAATTTACCTTCCCTATGGCTCGTGAAACCTTCTTTTGCTAATCGCTAAATCCCCTTAGGTTAGAGGTAACTTCCTCTTTTGAATGCATACTAATTCGTAAGGTGTATTCATGAATTAACTTTAATATTTTTTTTAATTTGAAAATTTCCCAGCATACCAACTAGTGACCAGAATTGCTTTAGCACTAATTAAGTATGTGGGACATTACTGTAATCATCTTAATACCACAATTTTTCTGACAATTCAACTACAAAGAAGTAAAATATTGTCCTTTTTAAATTAGTAATTCCTGTGGATTATTTTAAAGTATTACTGTACTTGCATAGTAACCAGTCAAATCAATGACCAAAGATAAAAGTTTTAATAATTAATGAAGTTGTATGATTCTGACGAAGTCATTATTGTCATACAACACGTTTAATAATGTAATGCTCGTTAATTATTCATCAACTGGCTAAAACCATGCATTGGAAAATTCCACACCAAATTTAATTTTATTTATGTGGGAAACAATACATGGGGGCACAATACAATTGTATTATTTCATGAAATTACGATGTAATGTTTTTAATTGCGTAGAAAGTGTAAGCTTGTAATGGTAGCTTTTGGAAACCAATTCCGTATGAACTTAACAGTTATATAGATCCAGTATATAGAGTAGAGAACAGATGAATATATTTCTCCGTTGACGGGAGAAGCTTGAGTGTAAAAGAGATTGATGTTTGTAATGTTTAGTTCTCTCTCTCTTGCTACAATCTATCAACATGAATCATCTGAACGACAGTTCAAGCTCCTCGTCTATTACACTTTGAAGGATTTCCGTTAATATCAATTTTATATATTCATATGTTTCAGTTTTTCGAATGAAGATTTTGTAAAGCAAATCTTGAGAGCTTTAATATTTTTTCATAACAAACTAAATTAAATACATTTTTGGAACAGTAACTTTTATAAATTGGCTAGCTGACACTGTAGAACCTTGAACATTTGTTATCATCATGCAAATCTGTAATTTCTTCGTTGCTTTTTACTCTGCGCCAGTTTTGTTATTAACAAATGAATCAACGCAGTTAAACTGTTGTACATATAATATCTGCAAGCGTTATTGTTACCAGTTAAGCTAAACGTAAAGAATGCAGATAGGGCGATAAGCGGGATTAATAGCTCGTTAAAAACCCATTTCCTACTTACAATTGCTTTTGCACATTGATATCCTTAATAGGTATAATTTTTTTCTATAGCTATTTTTTATGGCTCTTTGTTTATCATAATATTGTTGATCAATTTGCACCTGTCGTCCAACCTCATCTATATCGAAATACAACCATTTTCACCTATCACTCGCACCTTTTGCAGTTGGTGACATGTTTACCTGTAATAACTAACTGACTAGTTACAATAAAACAAGACTTTTTCTTTAGTCTTAAAACGTCACTTTATACCTCAAAACATACTTAGAGCTTTTTTAATATGTAAAGAGTATACACTTTTTTAATGATATATTTTTTATATTGTTAAAATAAATTTGCGAAAAATTTATCAAAATTGTAGTTATCAAGATACTATCATAGGTATTCAAACCTTTAATTGTTTAGGCATGAATGGCGTGAAAACAATCGACAAAACATGATATTTACGCGTATATTAACTTTGTATAAACTACTTATTATGGACTAAAAGTATTTTGTCTCAGCAACGCACTTATTTTCCCATTTAATGGTTGTTATAAAACCTTAGTCATGTGGATTAATTAAGCCAATATATTTCACAATTTAAATTATTCTATACAAATAGGTATTAAGTACAAACTATATAGGCCTACAGGGTGCCTCATCTAAAGATATCTAAAGATTTTAATTGAATTGTAATTTCGTAAATGTCTTCTTAATAAACACCTTTAGACTGTTTACCTATGCTCGGCGTCTATTTGGGTTGGGTAAAATATTTTAAGAAAAAGAATCGCTAAAGCTAGGACGCTAAAAAGGATCGATGAAATTTATTTTGATGAGCCTAGAAACATCAAAGAGTAAAAGCAATGAAAGCTTTAAATGTCATGGCCAATGAATGCAAAAGGTCATTTCAACCCGTAAAAAGTCACAACTTCAGCGGGTTCATAGTAGATAAAACCTAAAAGTATATCAGGGATTCCGACGGGCAACGGCTAGTCATCATGTAAAGAGGAGTTGAAAACAAACACATATGCTTATATTAATATTACTTTATTCAAAAGCTCTCCTTGTTCGTTTTGAAAAACTACATAGTATACAAATATTGGTCTTATAATTACTTTCAATAAAATTGGTAAGTGTAATTAATAAAAATATCACTTCTAGGCAAAATATTTGGTAAAACACACATTTTTCCCATATACACTACAGTTTTTAAAGGGCATTATTACTTTATATTTATTGTTAATATTGAGTCCCACGGTTCAGCTTTCCTTATAGAAGACTGACAGAACTTACCAATACACTTTATTGCAAAGTACCGTGTGTCCTAGATCAGTGGAAACACTTAAATTGTTTATGATAAGAAAACATTGCCCTGGATAGGCTTAAGTTTGATTTACTCGTCCTTGTTTTTAAAATATTGGGTTCCAAATATATAAATACGTCACAACTAAGTTGATTGTTGAATTGTTGAACTAAGTTGAACTAATTTAATTGTCATAAATAAATGTAAAATTCATTTTCAGATCTAATATGATTGGAATGCTACACAAGATACCATGGCTTTAGCACTGAAATCATGAAAATAGCTTGCACCACTATTATGTACCTATTCACTTGAATGATTTGCGCAGCGAGATAACCAAATTAACAGACATCTCCGCGAAACTGTTATAGATGCCTTTTGTTGCTAGAGTTATAATTTTAAGGCATTGCAATACAAATTGGACACACGGACAACCATTTAACCTTAAATGTTTTAGGAAATCAGTACAAATTTAACAGTACAAAAATGCTTATTTACACATTATTTACAGCACCAACACACGATGTTATTTACGAAAACATTTTAACTAACCAAGTTACAGTATATCATGTAAGTGTTTACATAAATTAAACGTATACTAAATATGGACAGTATAACAAGCTGCCTACTGTAATAAAAAAAGATGATAATAAGTTAACAGTTGTGGTTCCAACTCAAACGTTGTTTCTAAAGAAAAGTTTATTTTTATTTTTAACATTACAAATGATAACAAAAATATAATAACAAAGAGCTACGACTACGTTTGAGCACACACCATCTCATACATCTTCACTGACAGGGTTTCTTCTGAAATGAAATATGCATAACAATAACATTGCAGATTTCAATCGATAACCTTACAATTTGACCAGAGTCTTCGACTGCATTAAGGGTTTATAAGACTTTAATTTTGTTACATGTAAGCAATGAAAGAAATTATGTTTATCAGCCTATGTCAGAAGTTGTGAGTTATACAGAAACGAATTAATGCCTTCAAAATATAATGTGGAAAATTGTAACGGTTAAATCATAATACAATTTTATATTATATTACCAGTCACACCCTTACACATTGTGTTCAGATTTTGGCTTATACTTTATTATTTGCAATGACTGATTATATCGATCATGATAGCTTAATATAACTGGAAGTTTGAGGGTTTCATGATAACTATTTTCCATTCAATTGTTTATTTTCTACATAACAATAACATTGTTTTTAAGCAACGAGACAATAGAAATTATAATCAGGATATTTACCAAGCTGATTTTATTTTTTTTTTTATTGGCAAGGACAAAAGGGAAAACTTTTGTATCTAAACTTCATACAGTTTTTAACTTCATACAGTTGGAAATGTAGTAAGATTTACTTCCAGATTCGATTTCTTTTGCAGTAAATATCTGGTCGATCAGCATCGAAGTAACGAGTTACAAACAATACTTGTAATTGTCCCTTGTCAGTACAGTCATCGCCAGCTCGTCCCCCGTGTTGTAGAGGTTGTTGACCCAGACTAGCTGCCGGGCTGAGCTGATTGCTCCGATTGCTCCACGCAGATGCGGGTTGGGTCTAAGGGTTGCGTGTCTCCCTCCATGTATCGCTCCTGCAACATTGCTGTTTAATTATCCCTTGTCAGTACAGTCATCGCCAGCTCGTCCCCCGTGTTGTAGAGGTTGTTGACCCAGACTAGCTGCCGGGCTGAGCTGATTGCTCCGATTGCTCCACGCAGATGCGGGTTGGGTCTAAGGGTTGCGTGTCTCCCTCCATGTATCGCTCCTGCAACATTGCTGTTTAATTATCCCAAGAGTCTTAATATTTTGCAGTTGTCTTATTTATATCTATCATGGTATGCAACAATGTTTTTATATATTTATACACACTTACTCGTGTGTTTTTAAAGTATCCTAATTAAAATCTTACGAGCTCAGTCAATGTTTAATATAGTGGTACGATGCAATTTATACTATTCCAAATGGCAGAATAGGACCACAGTCTTCCCTGGTTTGTAAGATAACTTCCCAGCTTTTCCAGTAAACAATTAATCTAGAATTATATTTTTCGTTGTATTGGATGCACTATTGCATAGCAAGAAATCTTTCCTACCAAACTTTTGTGTTGAAATGGGTTCATTCTCAGAACACCTCAATTTTCAATTTGAATTTAAAGTGATTAATTATAAACTTGAACTTACATTGAAGTTAATTAAATAATACAGATGAAATAATTCAATCAGCAATTTCCTCTCAAAATATCTCATTTGCGCCCTAGAGTTGGAATGGATCATTCCTGCTCGCTAAATCAGCTGATTTCTCAGTTGGGGTTTCTACACCAACCACAGCCGCTGTTACAGTACATGAAAACCGGTAAACAAATAACATAATCCAAAAAAAGAAAACATAACCTAAATGACATTTTATATACAACTAAAATTTTATCGGTGTATAACTAAGTTAATAATTATGGTGCTAGGAAAAATCTTGTGTGTATTACGAGCGCAAACACACAAAAATAGCTATTTAATCATGACAAAAATAAGATGTATGTTTATAAAGTACCGTTGAGTCGCCTCCACTCTGTTTACTTCTACAAGAACTCTTAGTGTGATTAATCGGTCCCAGGGGACGCCACCATCTCGGCCTGTCAGGCTTGCTGTCTTCAACCTCACCATCGGTCCCGCACTCCTGCAACAGGGAATAAAAACATTCACTCAGCTGAAAACTACAAGTTGTAAAAACCTTGATTAGTAAATATAATCTTAGGTCAACAATTGCCTAATTAAGATAAGACATGGCAACGTATTTATATTTTTAATTTGATCAATTTCATTACCACTGATTTTACTCATTGAGTTTTGACCAAAATACTCGTAAAACTATGATTTTTAATACTGTTATTTAACATCAGCAGAGTTTCAGGGTAATCTTCCTTCCCTCGGTTGAACTATTACAGGATAGCTGCAGATTATTATTATTACTGACTGGGAAGGTGGCATACAACTATTCCCACTCATACAACACTCATCCTTCACTCATAGTGGCGTAAATAATTGGTAATTGATTGAATGGAATTGATATTTATTTTATATGCATAAATTTTGCTAAATGCCAAAACTAGTGAACCGACTGAAGTAGTGCACAAAGGTTGTGAACCTTGCCAATAACCTGGCTTATCAGTGTTTTAAAACTTCATCGAACTATACCACATATACGTCTAAACTATTGTGTGGATGCAAGTTTGACTATTAGACTTGTTTATAAACTATTTACACGGATTAAATCATACATATGAGTTCTACTTTTTATCCTAATATTGGACATTTAGCTTACAGGGTGGTGAGTTTGGTAGACATGGGCCGTGGTCTGGCTAGGCTTGTACAGGTCCCAGCTGTGCACGTACAGCTCCGCCACATGTACTAGGCGTCGACTGCTGCTGTGACGACGGTTCATCAAGTACCATCTGGATAGGGAAGTACAACGTATATTACAGGTGTTTTCATGATTGTATTTGCGATATGAACTCGAGTTTGTGGTCAGTTTTAATCCATGAGTTACTCTGTGATCAAGCTATTTGCCTATCCACCTATTTAGCAAGAGAATACTCATTCGGATATTTTCACAAATAATTCTCTCATCGTGGATACTGCTAAGTTAGATGAAACAAATTCGATATCGCCACAACTACTTTACTGGCAACGAAAATCTATACTTTGATGTTAAACCAGACTTTATAGCATAGTTTTACAAAAATTTTAATAGAGTGATATATATATATTTTTATTGTGAACTAGAACCTCGACAGACTGTGTTCAAAATTTGCAAAGTAATGTCAAGTACCTTTAAATTACATCCATTAGTTTTCTGGGAATAATTTGTTATTTTAACTAATTTATCCATATAGGATTTTAGGATTTTCGATTATTATCGGCAACCAATAAGAGCTAAATAATGGAACAATTTAAACTAGTAGAGAAAAACACAGATAAGCTAGATCAATTTTGAAACATGTATGAGTAATACTTCAGCCTCAGTTGACACATTACTTATTTATCTTCCCTCAAAGACCTTAAGATGGAACATAAATTCAGAAACCAATTCCACGAGACAGTCCAATTAACGCTCAAGAGAAATTTGTGTAAGCTTTGGAATTTCCAAGTTGACTTGTTTCGCTTGTGGCAGTTATGTTACCCAAGTAATTAACCACAACGTTTAATGTCACTTTGTGATAAATGTTGCCTGTCACCTCACTAGCGGTAAGAAATGGAAATAAATTACTCTTTTTCGTTTTAGGGAGCCATCCCTTTAAACGTTAAATCTAACTTGGTGAGTCATGAATAATTACTTGGTTCACCAATGCACCTTTCTTCATCGGACAGTCCTTTTAAATTGCATTAGTTAGAGGAGATAAAATCATATCAAACTAAAAATTTATTTCCGGTTTAATTTCAGGCATTACAGCACTATTTTATATGCGAATATATATAATGTGAAGCAATACCAAATTAACATAAATTTGAATAAGGTTAGTTAACAGTGATAAATCACCTTAGCTGGTTTAATATTTTGTTTTTGTTTTTTTTTCAACTATGGTTAACCCTATTTAATGTGTTAATAATATTTAAATACATGTAAATACACGTGAGCAAGTTTTCCGTTCGATGTATCGTTTAGTCCGTGTTAAATGTATTGCAAGTGCTAGAACCTCAAATCAGGCTTATGTCTGCAAGGCCCTATATTTTTCTTTTGCACATTCTCAAACGTATTTAGGCTGTCGTAGTTATAATTTAATAATTAGTTATTTTGTTTAGTTCGTCAGCCTAGTTTGACATCTTACTTGAAATAAGTTTATATGTGAGCTATTTCGTTTTAGACACCAGGTTTTCCAGGTAATCATGTCAGCGTGAACCGAGAATTAAATTTCCTTCTTTCATCATCAGCGAAAATGACCAATGGAAAAATGTGGAAAAATCTGCTTAACAATCAGCTTCTAGGTATCTTTTGATTTCTTTACCTTATCAGGAACTGATGTAGCCTGGCTATCTGACCCTGGGCCCTTAGACAGCGCGCTACTCCCAGTGTCGCTGATAAGTGGTTGTTCTGTAGTCTTAATGCTCGCAAGTAGAACATCAGTGCTAGTCTTGGTATCCCTGTAAATGTACACAGCATAATATATGTAACAATTCCTTACTGTTGATGCACTATGTACACAAACTATGTCAGTTTCTGTTAATAGCTTATTTAAAATTATGCTTTCGCCATATGTACCGGAAGGAAACACATAGATCATAATAAAATGTAACTAGAACGTCTGTTGGAGGATTTATTATCTCAGAACTCTAACGGTTAATTACGACGTACCTCTCTCGTGCAGCCATGTAGCGAAGTAGGCTTGGTAGTCAGGTGAGGTTGGTATCAGCTGTGTCACGTGATAGAGCAGTCGGGCTGCTATTGGTGGAGACCTGAGCTTGGCGAGGACCAGGTATGCTGGGCTGTATGACGTGTCCAGCCTCAGACATCTCTCTAGCATCGTCACCGCCTCCATCGTGCGGTTCATCTTCCTGAACATTCAACAGAATCGTTAGTTGGGTCACGTGATACAACAGTCGAGCTGCTATTGGTGGAGACCTGAGCTTGGCGAGGACCAGGTATGCTGGGCTGTATGACGTGTCCAGCCTCAGACATCTCTCTAGCATCGTCACCGCCTCCATCGTACGGTTCATCTTCCTGAACATTCAACAGAATCGTTAGTTGGGTCACGTGATACAACAGTCGAGCTGCTATTGGTGGAGACCTGAGCTTGGCGAGGACCAGGTATGCTGGGCTGTATGACGTGTCCAGCCTCAGACATCTCTCTAGCATCGTCACCGCCTCCATCGTGCGGTTCATCTTCCTAACATTCAACAGAATCGTTAGTTGGGTCACGTGATACAACAGTCGAGCTGCTATTGTTGGAGACCTGAGCTTGGCGAGGACCAGGTATGCTGGGCTGTATGACGTGTCCAGCCTCAGACATCTCTCTAGCATCGTCATCGCCTCCATCGTGCGGTTCATCTTCCTGAACATTCAACAGAATCGTTAGTTGGGTCACGTGATACAACAGTCGAGCTGCTATTGTTGGAAACCTGAGCTTGGCGAGGACCAGGTATGCTGGGCTGTATGACGTGTCCAGCCTCAGACATCTCTCTAGCATCGTCATCGCCTCCATCGTACGGTTCATCTTCCTGAACATTCAACAGAATCGTTAGTTGGGTCACGTGATACAACAGTCGAGCTGGTATTGGTGGAGACCTGAGCTTGGCCAGGACCAGGTATGCTGGGCTGTATGACGTGTCCAGCCTCAGATATCTCTCTAGCATCGTCATCGCCTCCATCGTACGGTTCATCTTCCTGAACATTCAACAGAATCGTTAGTTGGGCCACGTGATACAACAGTCGAGCTGCTATTGTTGGAGACCTGAGCTTGGCCAGGACCAGGTATGCTAGGCTGTATGACGTGTCCAGCCTCAGACATCTCTCTAGCATCGTCATCGCCTCCATCTTACGGTTCATCTTCCTGAACATTCAACAGAACCGTTAGTTGTTCAAATATATGTAGTGCACAAATAAACCTGCGAGACGTCAGATTGAATTTAGTGAAATGATTCAAATGACAATCCAAAATAGAACTAATGAAATACAGTCTTGAATGAATCAAGCACTTTAATTGCAATGCACCATGAGTAAGAGCGCCAGTATTGAAGTACCTTTGTTAGTTTTGAGGCATAACATATTACGAAATCAACTACAATTCCGAAAATGTTGCTTTACTAATCATTGATTTGATTAATATTTCAATTCGACATACCTGTAGACCTGACCGAGGTTATAGTGCGCATTGACGTGGGATGGCGAGATCGTAATGGCAGACAGAAAGTGATTCTCGGCTTCGTTTGGAGAACTCATCAGCGTGCCCAGATTATTGTGAGCGCTCGCATAACGCGGCCATAACCTAGAAACATGTAGATGGTTATTAATGAGTTATACTTTTGACTATTTAGTCTCTAATAGCATGCCATAGTCAATTGTTATACAAAACACTGAGTAAGGAATTTCCCAAAACACTGTTCAAATACATGTTCAAAACATGTTCAAACTCAATGAAATTAATTAAAATTTTCTATATATCTATTTCAATAGTATATTTTGTGATAAACATCGAAAATAAGGATTTGAATGCTCAAGACAAGTTTTGAGCTTTAAACCTTGTCAGGTTGGTACTTTATTGGGGTCTTTTGTCATATTATACATATAATAAACAATTAACTATGAAATCGTATCGATTAGAAAAACCAAATATGAACAATAAAACTAGGTAACCTTTAAAACATCAATACCTAAGTTTAACATTAAATTTACACCATAAGTAGTGTTTTTTGTACCCCAATTGAATTTGTACAATAGCTACAGCTAAAAATATCCTTGCTCGATGAACACTACAATCACATGTCTTGTATGAACAAGAGAATAGGGCTAACATTATTTCGCTGGGAAAACCAAGCATGTGCTCCTTCTGTATTATTATAAAACTCGTAATATTGTATTTAACAATTCCAATTAATGCAAGTTATTTATCAAACTGATAATTTTAACTAATATAATATTTTAAATAAGAAACATTCATGCGTACCTGATTGCCTCCTTGTAATGTGTGATAGCGAGGTCTGGAACGTTGGTGTCCCGTAGGTAGTTTGCCAGGTTGTAGTGCATCTTAGCGTTGTGAGGTAGAGCTTTGATTCCAGCCCTATAGAAACAGTATACAATATTTGTTACGATACAATTTAACACTTTCAAGATATTAAACTTAACACTTTATATTTGGTGCGTATTTTAAGGCAAAGAGGAGTGAAGGATGAGTAGTGCCTGATTTAGGTGACAGTTTTACCACTGCCTCAGATCAACTAACTCTTCTGTTTGGACCAGTTATTAAAATCGAAATGAGCATGGATCTAGTTTTGAGTCACAAATATTCTGACGTATCTATGTAATTTTTATTAGAAACTACATACACTCACCTGACAAGTGACTCCCTTGTCGCCCAGTCGTTATTCCTGACGAAGGTCCTGCAGGAGAATGACGTCACCAGCAGCAGCAGCCCCAGCAGCAGGAACAGTCGACGGCGTGGTCGAGGACCACACCAGCCGTGTAGCTGTTGGGCTCCGTACGCTACCAGCAGCACTCCTCCCAAACTGTACGTAAAATACACGTCACACGTCACTTTTGCGGTTATCCCAAATATATACTTCTAAATAACTTTTGTAAGTGTATCATAAGATAAATGAGGTTACCTAGGCATATAGAGGACCCGCTCGGCGACGACGAAGCCGACAGTGAAGAGGAGGTTAGTAGCTGGTAGAAATGGAGCTGCCAATAGTAAACCTGCTAACACCAGTGGAGCGTGCCTTTGCGCCTGCAACACATTTGGCAAATATACCCACTTGTGTGAGACCATCTGGCCTTGGAAATCACAGTGTGTTTGTTACAGTACAATCCAAGCGTATTAGTTGTGTATTGTAATTGTGTTGTGCATTTTCTTTGAACTCATTGCACAATCCCTTTAACTTTTATTATTTTTTAAGAAAAAATTCAAGCTTATTTAATTAATAACATTAAGAAATAGTTTCCTGAGGATTTCCCTTATTCAAAGTTAAGGTGGTTTAAACAGTGGAATTGTTCGAATATAATTTATCCTGTCTCACATTAGAGTTTCCAAAATATTTATGGAAATTTTGAAATAATTTCGCAACATTTTAGCAACCATGTGTAGGAGACGTTGTTTCTAGAACTATTGATGTTTTGTCATTTCAGAGACAGTAAGAGAGGGATGATGTTTGATCGTGTGGGTCGCCTGCGGAGTTCATTAGTCAGCAACGCTGTCCTCCATTATTCTTAGCGTTAAACACTATCTTCTGAAAACAGCACTGTGTCACAACACGTTTGGTCCTTCAAATAAACTGAGATATTAAATCACATTTCTATTAATAATACGAATCTACAAGGTGATTAACGTAAGTTGTCCAGTATCTCAATAAAATAATATGTAAATAATCTATTAACATGTTGAAAATTAAAATAATAAACACGTTTAGTGATTTTAAAGATGTTTTAAAAGTTGAGGAACCTCTGGACTTAATTTTGGAGCGTCCAGTGCTCGGATGAGGGTCAAATATTACTATGGATTCATCACATTGGGTTATTTCATTTACACCTCAGAGACAGTAAACACTCTAGGTAAACCATCGTGTATTTTTTCATGAAATAAGTATTATTAATCAAAATTAATTAACTGTTACAAGTTAAATATGTATAGTGTGATCTAAGACAAACAAAAGTCTAGTTGTTTTACCTCGAAGTCAGCGGCGCAGCGGTAGGCGATGAGTACACAACAGGTAAGAAACAGCGCCGTGGTCAGGTTGCGACAGTCTGCTAGTGACGTCACGAGAGGGATGGATCCCATCTGCCAGTCATGACTGAGGGTAGAAGGACATACTAGAAGCCACCAGTTGAACGCTGCTAGGTAGCAGAACGTCAAGAGCCTATGACAAGAAGTTAAGAGTCACAAGTGATGGACATGGGCCCGGGATACTGCAGTACAACTATCAGTCTAAGAGTAGGCAATAGAGGGACATACGAGCGTATGCAGCATTAAAGACTCTTAAAGTATCTGAAGGTCGCTAATACTTGAAGACGAATGTTAGAGCACAGATAAAGGAATTGGTAATCAAATTTAAAGTCTGTCTCGTGTGATTTAAACAATGAGAGGATTAAGTTCAGATTTTTGGGACTGTATACTTTTCATAAAATTTAAATATCATTTAGGTAAGCCTAATCCCAAATATCATACACACAATATTCATTGTGTTGTTGATATTCAAACAATATTCATTGCTAATTTTCAATTTGTAGAAAACTGTGGTAAGAATTCAATCACGCAGTTTAAGTCTCCAGTTAAACATCTAAACGTTGGTCAATAACCTGTGCGTTGGAGTTACCTGAAAAAACCCAATGCTATACATACAAAGATCTTGAACAAATAAAAAACTGGTTGCTAAACCCTTAAAAAAACTTGATAATGTTTTTTGAATTTTTTAGAAAACGAAACCACAACTATAGTGAACAAAAAATTAACCATAAAACTAAAACATCTTACAGTTTGTATGTTTTAGAATATGTTTTTGTTTGAAATATAAAATTGAACCATATACTTTTACTTTTAATATAAATTTCTTCTCATTTTCGATCAATTTCTGAAACGCTGCGCAACAGCTAGGTGCAAGTATAGACATTATTTAATCAATGCTGGCGCTCACAGGCACAAAAGTCCCCCGCGGGTCCGTAACTGATTCAATATAGCTGTACACACAAGGCCCGGGCCGCCTCGGGGGATCACAACTCGCAGAAATTGTTTCTGCGAGGTAAACTCTTTTATCAGATTGAAAATGTCTGCTTATTTTAGGTAATAAGAAGCACGCTCAAGTTTTTATTATGAAACCGATATGAATACTACATGATTCTACATGTGATAATGAAACTTCTTAGCAAATTTGATGTCAATTATTGACGTTATTACAAAAATTAGTTTCAAATATGTTGTACCTGATTTAGTAACATCAGAAGCAATTTCTTACTCTATTTAAATATTATTTGTACCGATAACATGTTGATAAAATATGTTCAGTATGCGTGAGGAAATGTATTGCTATACTAATATGTGTTTAGGAATTATTAAAAGGAAACGTGCATGATATTTAAAGACAAATTGTAGTGATGGTACACGCTTTAAAACATTTTTTTTTCCAAATAACGTATTGACTACTCGCGTAAAACACATTTACACTTGGAATTCATTGGAATTTTGAAATGAATGGGATTGTAACGTGCCATTAATAAGTCAATCGAATGTCACTACAACTGATAAATATTTATACATTCTACCATTAAGGGTGCATGTGTTCATAAGTATACCTTCATTTTTAATTCCCTAATGCTTTTTTGACTACCGGGCAAAATAAGAGATAAGTCAAATCTATCTAGATCGTCTACGAAATGGTCTGTAATAAAAAATTATGCTTTTATGGTACAAAAAACATGTTGTTTCAACTAAAGAAAGGTTTTCAATGCTAGATTATATGTTTTGTGTTGCAATATAACGATTTGACCGGATTAGGACGAGCGAGATCTGGTCTGAAAGCACTTGTCCAGAGGTCCAGTAATGAACTCTACATTGTTGTCCAGTAAACTCGTCACGGACACATTCAGGCATTGTGTGTGTAAAAGCTCTCCACATCCACCTACATTGTGCTCTCCTGATGTGAAACTCTTACAAGGGTCTGCCGCAAAACGCATTGATTGATATCTAATAAATGATCAGTTATAGCCGTTCATACAAACTAATGTAATGCTTGGTCATCATCAGAACTATCTCAGGAGACTTAACTTAGGTGACGTAACTCATGAAATAAACTAAATACTAACTTACACAAACCCAAAAGCCAGTAAAAATACAAAAGACAACAAATGACACCACTTCCCCTTTGTGACCCTGTCCCCTAACTCACTATACCATTGTTACGCCCAATACTGACCATTACAGACCTATTCAAAACCTTCTGTAGGTCAGCACAACATATGACGCAGTGAGAAAATTAGTTACCTCAACATTGTTGTAATTTACTTAAAATTGTTATACAACTTTTGCTTAATACATGCCGACTTTCTATGTTTTAAATGTTAAAGACACCATGCTTTGTAGTCTTCAAACCATTAAAGCGTACATAAGCAGACATAAACCTCAATAGTGTAGCATATCGTTGGAAAGCTTATAAAATGGCGCAGTTTTTAACATATTCCGACACTTTGTTGTATACAGGGTGTGAAAAATGCAATTGACCATTGTTTTTCAAATGTTTATCGAACATCTTAATTTTTATCTTTGAATCTATTTACAATGGAGTTTTTACAACTGATCCTGCGTCATTTTCTATTATTCTTGTTCAAAATTTAACGTAGAACACGAAAATGACATTATCTACTCAAATCCATATACAGGTAATTGATAAATCGCTGTATTAAGTTTAAAAACATGGTTATTTTTGAAAAACATAAAATAATTTTTTGGGAAGCTAATTTTTAGACTTGGAACATTTGATATGCATCATCACACTTCATTTACTTTGTACTTACACCAAAAAAATGTTGTCACACTGAGTACAAATCACCCTGTATATTATACTAACCTGACGTACGGACAAGGGTGAAAGGCTGCAGGATTGTCTTGGCTGGAGAACTTAGGTAAAGCTCCCTGCAACATTGCCAGCCGAAACGCCAACAGCATACTCGTCTGTAACCCAACACTCGGAATCAAACGACTGATAATAAAAACAATAGAGAATGATCTATTAACAACAACATTCAGTGCACCTAGGGAATATATTGCCAATTCGGTAATGGCATAGCTTGAAGCAATGGGACACGAATGACAGTCAATATCAAAGCCATCCACTGCAAATATATACGTCTAATTACAGTTGACATAGATATGCATATAATTATAAACTAATAGCCCCAAGGCTGTAGACAAACATCTCCAGTCTCCCTCGAGAGCTCATAATGTATAATGTAGACCCACAACACACACTACACAGTCTGTCACTACGTCTCAAACTTATGCTACAACGTATGCTTGTATCTACAACATAGTAATAATGTCTTACGTAGTCACTGACAACTATCACAAACAGTTTTATATTGAGTTTAAGCAAATGTGTTACTTTTTACATATTTGATACAAGTATATATCAAGCAGAAGCCGAAAAAAGTCCCTACATCTAAACATTCTTATTTAAGTGTACAAAGAAACAATCACTTACCGCTACGAGTATTTTAGCCGTCCTGCGGGCGAATAACAGGCTTTCCTCGTTCCAGCGCGCTTCCGCAACAACCCTGAAACAGCAATGAAAATTGTGTATGATGAACAGTATTTATATTTGGTACAGTAAGTGTTATATGAAATTTACTAAATAATCTTAACCTAAATACAATAATATACAATAATCTTATAAACTTGAGGGGAATTTTCGCGAAATATTCTGAATGAACTACATGCCGAACTTTCAATATCTCACGCTGAAGGAAAGATAATTTTGAGAGGTAGAGAATTTCAAAGGCATGAATTAAATTTGGGTTTTCAGTGTTCTTATAACTTTAGTTTAGTTTCTTTCTAAAACCTTGCAGCCAACACTTACATTTTAAGTTTGTTTCAGTGCAATATAATTTGGTTTAACCAAGCGCTGGTGTTCTTATAAAAAAAGAACACATTTGTGCTACTATCGAAATTGTCTTTTCCACGTTAATTTTTACACCTATTTGGATCAGCTGTTAAGATAAAGACTCTTTCTGCAAAATCTGTCACTTAAATGTTGACGTTATTAGTTGTTAAAAATAATATTATAGAGTAATAAGAACGGGTGAAATGGAGTCTTGGAATTCGTCTAAAGTTTTTTTTTTATCCTTAAGGCATAGAAAAGTCAATTTCTCTTTACAGCCTTTGTATAGAACTAAAATAATGTTGTATATTCAAGCATTTTTGTATAATTGAAGGTTGATGAAAAACTATGGAAAAAACCGTTGTAGTTTGCTTGTTTATGTTAATCGCAAATTTATCCTACTTACATCATATAAACATAACCGATAAATATTTGATGAAACTAAACACTTTATCTCCTCTCCGTATCAGCAAATATCAGTACTCGAAAAATCTAATGATATTGAAATAGAAAAAAATATTTCTTGTTTATAGAAATATTTTTGTAAAAATTCGCTTAAAACAGAAGCACATATGAAGGCGTAGAAAGTCAAATTTCTCTTTGCAGCCTTTGTATTTGCTTGGTTGCATAAGTTTGGAATATATTCAAACCGATTTAAAAATGTTAGGTCAATCAATCACCTTGATCAGCCACTATGTGCGTATTTCAACCCAAATATGAGTGAAGGATGAGTGTAAGATGAGTGGCTACTATTTACCTCTTGACGTGAGGCCAACACTTGTAGAGATCGTAGCCTAAGTTGACTAGCAGCACGGTCAGACCAGTCTCCTTGGCTAACATGGACAAAGCTGCCATGACACAGCTACATGCTACCTTGCCACTGCTACCTCCAGGTAACCTCCACCCCTCACTGTAACACAACACTTGTGAGATTGTAGCCTAAGTTGACTAGCAGCACAGCAGACCAGTCTCCTTGGCTAACATTGACAGAGCTGCCATGACACAGCTACATGCCACCTTGCCACTGCTACCACCAGGTAACCTCGACCCTTCACTGTAACACAACACTTGTGAGATTGTAGCCTAAGTAGACTAGCAGCACAGTCAGACCAGTCTCCTTGGCTAACATTGACAGAGCTGCCATGTCACAGCTACATGCCACCTTGCCACTGCTACCTCCAGGTAACCTCCACCCTTCACTGTAACACAACACTTGTGAGATTGTAGCCTAAGTTGACTAGCAGCACAGTCAGACCAGTCTCCTTGGCTAACATTGACAGAGCTGCCATGTCACAGCTACATGCCACCTTGCCACTGCTACATCCAGGTCACCTCCACCCTTCACTGTAACACAACACTTGTGAGATTGTAGCCTAAGTTGACTAGCAGCACAGCAGACCAGTCTCCTTGGCTAACATTGACACAGCTACATGCCACCTTGCCACTGCTACCTCCAGGTAACCTCCACCCTTCACTGCAATACAATACTTATAGAGGTGCCGAAATGAGCCAAATCACACTTTTTAACACATTGTTATTGGAGAGTTAGGAAAGTATTATAATGCTTTATCAGCGCTGTACACTCTCACACCAGGCATTATTGTAAATCTATGCTATTCTTCCTAATAAGTAATTCCAGTGTTTAAAATGTATGTCAAATAAACTACAGGTATTATCCAAATACTAGTTCACAACAGTAGACATGCACGTTTGTACTTTTCTTATCATTTTATACATCTAACTTTTCCTCTATGTATTTGGCATATTGCAACCTCACCCTTGTGAATTACCACTTATGAATTATATCTCTTATCAAGTATGATGATATAGATACAGTGCCTTAGTGTCGTTGCACTAAAGATGTTAGTATAAAAAAAACTTGACATAAATTCTCCCATAACACGTGGTGCGATATCACTGTGTTTAAACTATTTTATTAGGTCTTCTAATAGTTGAGAAAACTAATAGTTGTAAGACAACTCTAAATAAAACATAAAGGTTTTTATTTTGTAGAATTACTATAATCAATTTAAGAAACTTCTTATGAAAATGTAATTCAATAATATTTCTACTTACTCGTGGTAAATGAGAAAGGACAGAAGAAACAAAAAGCAAGCCAGGACATCGGCTCGCCCTACAATCCCAGCAACCTAGAAACATTATTAATTCAGAGCTAACATACGGCATGGTATGGATTAAACATATTATGCTTTGTAGTAAAAAAGGACAGGGTTAATATGAAAAACCTTCATATTTGTGTTTTTGTATAAGGAAACTGTTATTTAACATTGTTACTTGTTGCCTGTATTTCAATGAGTAGCCCTTAAAAATATGTGTAATTTTTCCTGTCTACATTTCTTTTACATTTTCATGATACTTCCTTTGGGCTTTTATATCACGCCAAAAATACGTATTAATTTGTATTGCTTGAACTGGCAAAATCTATTATGAGAATGCATTTTTTTTCCAAGTTCAACTTGTATACACAATTAAGCAATGTAACAACAATGTAAACAATAAATACCTAAACTTCAAAAGACTTTCTTTAAATTACCCCTTCGGTATGTATCGGGTGAGCCGCGAAGAGCAGACCAGCGACTGTGGCGAATCCTGCCTGCAGACCAGCCACGACCAGAGCCGCTCTGGTAAACAGCAGACAGCAGGCCACATGCAGCGCAAGGTTGAGACCATGGTATGAGGCTGGCTGGAGTCCACACAGCCAGTAGTTGAGTCTGTAACAAGTACAATGTTGTTAATAGACCAGCGACTGTGGCGAATCCTGCCTGCAGACCAGCCACGACCAGAGCCGCTCTGGTAAACAGCAGACAGCAGGCCACATGCAGCGCAAGGTTGAGACCATGGTATGAGGCTGGCTGGAGCCCACACAGCCCGTAGTTGAGTCTGTAACAAGTACAATGTTGTTAATAGACCAGCGACTGTGGCGAATCCTGCCTGCAGACCAGCCACGACCAGCGCCGCTCTGGTAAACAGCAGACAGCAGGTCACATGCAGCGCAAGGTTGAGACCATGGTATGAGGCTGGCTGGAGTCCACACAGCCAGTAGTTGAGTCTGTAACAAGTACAATGTTGTTAATAGACCAGCGACTTTGTCGAACCCTGCCTACAGACTGAATATATGTTATGTACCTAATTAATATGAATGAACTTGTCTCCAAGGTTTCTGCAACTTTTCAGGAAAAGGAGTATGTGCAGCTAATGCTAAAGTTATCTTAGTAAGTTGTTTGACGTCATAATCCACAACATCTTAGTGGGAAGCTTAAAGCATACGATGTGGGAGGTATGACAGATAGGTGACTGAAAGTCGCTTGAGTGCTATATCATGAATCGATGTAAAACCAGCTGGCTGTTAGAGGTGCCTTCTGAAGTGAAATGCATATACCAATAGTATGGTCTTCATCTACTTGAGCATTGCGTCCCACAAGGCTCTGTCATAGGCCCTCTGCTTTTCGTTATCTACATTAATGATCCGAGATACGAAGAGAGATCTCTCCTATACACAGACGACACTATGATATCTAGACATTATCGACTGAAATTGCTCCAAATTGACTATGAGAATCTCATGATGGCTGCCAAGGATAGGTTTGTGCAGATTGAGCTTAAGCTGAATGGATCTTGACTCAAAATCTAATCTGTACTTAAAAAAGAAACATAGTTCCTGTCGAAGACTCACAGTGTTTGAAAATTTTAGGTTTCTGGATGGACAGCCAGCTCTCATGTGAAGACCACAATTTCCAACAAACTGTCAAAAACAATCTTTCTGCTTCGCAAAATCAAGCTAGAGATATCTGAACAGTATTTTCTGACCATGTATCATGGCCTATCCCATAGTCACCTAAACTACTATGGTTATAGTCTGCAGTTGTGGAGTCATGCGCCAGGTTCTTTCAGAGATCTTTTACACTTTAGTAGAAGGCACTCAGAGTTGTTACATCTAGTAAAGCTGACACCCACTGTAGACCTCTTGTCGTGCGTCTGGGAGTTATAAAAATATTTTGCCAGTATGTCTTCAACAGTGTTGTACACTTGAGGAAAAACATAGACGATTGTAGATTCAGGGGTGACCTTTATGGCTGCAATTCTCGAAAACGGAGCCAGCTTGATCTTCCGGCCCATCGTCTTAGTAAGACTGCAAACAATTTCCCCACTCTGGCCATAAAACTGTACAATAATCTCAGCGTTGAAACTAGAAGCCTGTCGGTTGAAGCGTTCGTAGCACACATGCCTAGGGAGTTGACTAGCCCCCTCTATTCCATCAAGGAGTATTTTGAACCCCCTCACTCAGTTTGAACAAAATTATCCATCACCTTGTATATAGTGTAAAAAGTCTTTAAGTTTTAAATTTAGTTTATAACGCAATCTATCCAGCTATGGCTGTTCAAAGATGAATAGCCAGTAAAGGTAAATGTACCTATTGTTGCCCCATGACAAATACCTACAGAAATGTACATTTTTTTATTTTTTTACACAATAGTGTAAAATTAAATGTATTGCAATTAGACCAGGACGTTCACATGCGTGATCATCCATAAATGATCAGCTGTAAGTAGTATCGACCTCGACTTGCCATGGTTGAGTCACATCAGTTACTGATGACTCGCCGACAGTCTCGTTGTATCACGCGACCGCCATACCTCACGTAATCATACGGTTATGGTAATTTCACTTCATGTAATAGAATTATTATTTCAGTTACCCTCTTCACCATTTGAATGTATGAAATATGACAATTTAGTTCTTACAACAAATAGAGTTGGTAGAATAAGTTAGTAGAGTGACAGACAGTGAAAATAAGGCAGGGATTACGTGAGTTCGTGTCCAAATGCATAAGTAAAGTTCATTTTCGTTATTTACAAACGCATCCCTTGCTTAACTAATAAGAAGTACCTTAGGTTACTTTAGTGACATTAGTGTCATAAGGTTATACATTAAACATGGCAGTCTACAAAACTTTTTGGTTTTTTTCTAAAAAATTTATAAATAATTACACAATTACCTTCGTTAAGAGTAAAGAATGTTGTCTAAATATTGGTTTGTAAAACACTAGTTACAAAACGAGTTGTTATATTATGTACGTATGAGAGGACGTCTAAGTTAATTAAACTGCTAACAGTTGGAGACCCTCGCTCGGTTTTGGTGCTACAAAAACTTGCAATGTAATTAATCGAACAGAACAGCCGCCTACTTTGTATTCCGCCAGACGATGACGGACGTGCAGGGGGTGAAGGGAGGGATGGTATATTAGACAGCATAAGAAGGGATGGGGTTGCCTCATATTGTGACGTGAATAACAACAACCAACCTAATATTAGATTACCTATAAACTCGTCACAGCAAAAACAAATAAGAAACAAGTAGGTGTTTGTGCTTAGTTTTATGCCCGTAGATTTAAAAGGGCTTACTGCATACCTTAATTAAATTTCTGTTTACTTACTGCTTTTTTTGTACAGACAAAGGTTGGTGTCCTCGTTTACCATTCATTTTCCTTTCCACGTGGGCCACAGAGACATGTGCGTGGAACGTTACCAGCTGAGCAAAAGGGTAAACTGTACTAATACAAAGTAGTGGCAGATACCATGTTCCATACCCACGACTTCACCGTGGTGCTACCGACTAAGCCACCTTCTTACAATAAGTTTTTATTGATCTGAGATTTGGTCATTTCATTAAGCATTTTGACAAAAATAATATTATGAGACGGGCTTACTAAGTTACTTTTATAATATTCATTATTAATTTGTCTATTGTATATTGTGAAATTATAAAGGATGGAGGTTTTAAAGTGGTTCCTTTAGAAGACTGTCTACACTTATTTATTGTAAGCTCCTATAGTCAAAAAGTCTCTGTTTCTAATGTAATCATTTCCCTCCACGTAAAGTCATGAGACTATTTTCATCATAACAAAAAAATGAATCTAACAATATGCAAATTCTTCCGCCTTAGCAAACCTATAGACTAAGCGAATTTTCATTTACCTGGCTGGATTTCTACTAAAACCCCAGTTCCTATAGTCCTATAGAGTTCGTGAACTGAAATGTTCCATCTGGAGCAAAGTGTAATTGAAAATTGACACACATGTCACCATACTCCTCACTATTAGTGGACAGCTGGGTCAGGCATTGCAACGTGCTCTGTTGGGTCAGAAACATTGTTATAACACATTCCACGTTGTCTGGCGTTGTTGCTGAGGGATTCCAAATAGCTGTATTACTTTGTATTACTTATTGTATTACTAAGAACCAAATCACTTAATAAAGAAACAAATAAAATATAATTTTCCTTACATGTTTAGAAACTAATATATGTTTTCCAACTACAGGTTTAGAAATATTATATTGTATTGCTAAGTATACACACATCAATTTAAAATTATTTCGGTTATTAAATAGAAAAAAAACCAGCATATTTTGTCAATGGCGAGTAAGACAACGTTGAATGTTGAAGCGCGGTGAAAAAATAAACATTTAAGCAATATTGTATAACTTAATATGTTGTTTATTAATTTTAGGAACATTTCTCGCGTATATGGTACATTCTTATCTTATATTGTAAGAATTTTTACTTTTAGAAAACGTCCTAAAAGGTAAACCTTCCACCTTGGTATGTCTTTTCCAAATTTGAAAATCAATATTTAATTCAATTTGCCAAGTTAATGTTTTTCGTCTGATGTTTACGACATTGGGATTTCATTACATTTTGAAAAGTGTATTCAAATACTTCCTATTTTTACAATCATGAGTATTAAAAACGTATAGCATGTTACGCGTTACTACACGGTTAGACATTTCGTATAATCCTTTTGAGAATAACAAAGCATAGGCAAGCTTGAATTTACATTGCGAGCTTGGTTGCCCGGCATATTAAACTGTTGTCATGCAGATCGAACCATCAAAACCTTTGTTTAGGAGTAAAGCTGCCATGTTATGTGCATTGCACGGATTTACATTCATGTTTTGTGGGAACGCGTAAACACGATCAAGTATGGAATGATATTTGAGGGTTGTACTTAATAAAAAGAGAATTAGATATTTTACTGTTAAATATTTTACAATTTAGAAAATATTAACATATCTATGACCAAACTAATAGTAGATATTTCGCTACATGTTTGTTTAAAATTGTACGGAAACAAGTATTTGAGATTAGCTATAGAATATTATAAAAGACGAAAAAATTTACTCTTGGCTCAAAATAAGCTGGACTTTTCTAATATTTGAACCTGTAACTAAGCTTTCAGTATACTTAATTAATTATAGTCATCCTGAACATGATTACTTATTTGTATTGTTATTTATGCTTTTTAATGTTTTTTTTTTTTGTAATTCAGGTATTCCATGTTTATAGGAACAAAATTATTCGTTTTAAATAAACTTTTTAAAACTATAAGGGGGGAAACCGACATTACATTTTGGACATAGGCATTCCTACTTTAGCAATTATGTTTGAATACTAAGCTTTTCACATTAAGCTCAACCAATGAATTACATTTTCCTACAGTTATAAGATTCTAGCTATAGACAAATCGGGATTTCTTGTACTGATTATAGCATGGAAAGTAGCCAATTGCTGCGTTTACTTACTTTTGCCGCACTCATTTTACTTTTGCCGAATTCATATTTTTGAAGCACTCCAGTATTCTAACCAAACAACACAAAACCGGGTAATTAGGCTAAAAATACGTGTACGCATGAAAATAAGTTGACAACACTTACGATCAGCTGTTTCAGTGTTATCAGTTCGTTCAACGCTTGGCTTTAACCTAATCCAAAACGAGTTGTTTTGTGTTTTAAATATTAATTAGTCCTATGCTTTATAGTAACTGTAAGAAAAATATAATGTGTAACACGAGCGCAAAGTGCCTTTGCTGCACTTGAGAACCCTCTACACTAGCCTGCGGCTCGTACGTAAACAATTCTCTCATGTGCAGCAGAGTGCAATTGCTCATACTAATTACACAAATAACAAATGCTCAAACTTTCCGGAAAACAGTCGTTTTTAGTTCTCTAAATTGTCCGCAAAATCATAGTTTTAGGATAACTTCAAATAGGG